CTTCTTTCTTCTATATCCAATCCAGTCATTTCTTCCTGTCCAACTGATTATAATAATAGCTTTCCCCTTTGAAGTTGTGCCTTACCTATCCTACTGCGTTCTAAGCTGCTGTGGATGTCTGTCCCATACAAAATAAACAAAAGTGTGTGTGTGTGTGTGTGTGTGTGTATCCTGACTGATCAAACAGCAACATAAAACAAAATAGGGGAAAAAATAAAATAAAAGTAGCAGACTCAAATAAACTTTGTGATCAGTCAATATACGCCCAAAATCTAATAGCTGTGTTCCCTTCACAGAGCTGCAAGCTGCAGAGTTCCCTAGGAAGAGGAACTAACCTCTCAGCACCCTTAATAAACTCCAGTTCCCAGGATTTTAGAGGGGGAATTCATGACTGTGTAAAGAGGTATGATATTGCTTTAAATGTATGCTGCAGATGGGGCCTAAAACCACCAGAAGATTAATATCTGGGGCAGAGAGAGGAAGGCAGAGGGCAAGGAAGACCTTACACAGGAATGAAGTCACAGAATCAAAGAATCATAGAGCTAGAATGGAAGAGAGGGTCATCTAGTTCAACATCCTGCAATGCAGGGGCTCAAAGCCATGACCCTGACCTGAAAATGAAAGCCATGGTAGGAACTGGGGAAAGCCAGAAGCGAAGTTGAATGAAATGCCACAGCAAAGAGTTGGGCTCAACCCAAGAGACAAAGAAACCTGGGAGCAAAGCAAAGAGGACTTCTAGACCAGCATTAGTCTTGGGTGGGATTCAGCCACATCCCAGCAAATCCCAGTTGTGCAGTCCAAAGTTTCTGGAAGGCCTTGAACAACAAACCCACTCCTCCCAAAGAATGGACTTTTTACAAAATATTCCCCCTCTGGAGAAAGCTGATAGTTTTCCAGGACTTCTGCATCTTTACAATATGCAATTGGAAAGAACAGAGAGCTGGAGAAGCCTGTCCTTGTCGTCCAGTAATCTCCTACCATAGTTAGATTCGCCTAGGAACAGAAACAACGCATTGGAACGAAGATGGTAAGATGTTTATGGAGAATGCAGAGATACCTTCTGATTAAAACAGAAGACTAAATAAGACTCTGCTCACAAGGTGACCGGAGCCCTAATACAGTGGGCACAGGGGGGAACTGGAACCTACAGTGGGACACTTTTAATAAGCAGCCATATGTTAGCTGGCCTTGCATTACTAGGGATGATGGAGTTTTGTCACAAATCCCAATATACTATGGGGTTTGTGATGGCCCTTTGTGAGTGGGCAGAGGTGGTGTTTGTGATGGCCCTTTGTGAGAGGGCTCAGGTGGGGTTTGTGATGGCCCTCTGTGAGTGGGGTGTGGTGGTATTTGTGATGGTGCTTTGTGAGAGGGCTCAGGCGGGGTTTGTGATGGCCCTTTGTGAGAGGGCTGAGGTAGGGTTTGTGATGACCCTTTGTGAGTGGGCTGTGGTGGTATTTGTGATGGTGCTTTGTGAGTGGGCTCAGGTGGGGTTTGTGATCGCCCTTTGTGAGTGGGCTGAGGTGGGGTTTGTGACTCAAACCCTTAGGATGAGTCCCCAGTAGCATTTCATCTTTCAGCCTTGTAGATTTTAGCAGTTATGGAAGTGGACAACAGCCCTTTAAAGAACACAGCCAGCTCCTCTGCAAAGGCAGGGCTAATTGCAGGGCAGGGTTTGCCAACCTCAACCTCTTTGCTGAGACAACATCCACCCATTAACCACAATCAAGAGAAAACTGTAGCCACTGGAGGTCACAGGACCTGTCCATGGTTCTGATAGGGCTTGCCTAAATCTGGGTGTATATTTACACCCAGGTACCTGCTTGGGAGCTCCATCTGAAAATATCTATTTCTTACAAATGTGGATCTAGTATTATGTGGCACTTGTAACAGTGCCAGTTCCACAGATCCAAGCAGTTGCATGGGCATATATAGGATAAGGAAATCTCACAAGTATACTAGGGACAAGCTGTTAAAGGCTTTATATACTAACCTGTATACTTGGCCCTGAACTTGAAACTGCTAAATTGCATCTTTGCATTAAAACAACAAAATCGCCAAACCAAGCCACAAACGCTTCTGGTCTTGCAGGCTTTGCATTTAAGCGTGGTGGGAGATTAAAATGTTTGCGGCCACTGCTGTCATTCCCCCCTGCACCCCCGTCTGTCTTTCTTTTTCACCCCACACTCGTGACCAGTAATAAAACCAGAAGCTCTTTTCTTCAGGATCGCCTAAGCAAGAACAATCGCACAGTTTTAAAGCCCAGAATGGTTTTAAAATTAAAAATTGGCAGGCGTCCACTTTACATCTCATCCGCCCTCTGCTAAGAGAAGATTGGAGGGGTGATTTAAAAAGAAAGAAGGGGGCACTTGTGTCAACAGAGTCTGCCTCAAGTAAGAAACCTTTTTCTTGCAGATGCCTTGAAAGCACAACTTAGGTGCTCCTTTATTACTTCAGAGAATTCTACAAGGCAGAAATGCAGAGTCCTGTTCTTTGATCTCTGTTAAAGCTGAATTGTTTCTTGTGTGGTATTTGTGGAAACGTCATTGTAAGAGGTCTGAGTTATTCTTCCCCAGAATGTGTAGTTTCATTCAGGGGAGTGTTCATGGCTGGCATTGCCTCGGCAAGATCTCCCTCGCACTCCTCCTGTAATCATATCAAATATGCCACATAGTCAGGATGAACAGTCCAGTGAAACAATAATCCTAACCCTAACCCCTGGCCTAACACTCAGCTGCATCACTCACTTATGACACCACAAAAGGAGGGCATTTTTAGCTCAATATTACTTTTAACTCTGGGGTAAATAGCAACCTTGGGGAGGCAGATCAGAACGGGTGAGGGGCCACAAGGGGTTGAATCCCCTCTCAGCAACATCATGTGTGAACATCCCCTCTTAATTGCCGCTCTTTCATTAAAAACCAACTGTGGAAGGCACATCATGTGCTGACAGTGCGGTCCTATGTGTGCAATTTTTTTCAGTCTTCTTGGGTTCAAAGGGGCTTAATCTCAGGTAAGTTGGCATAGCAGAGGATGGGCAGGGAGCACCAGGCTGCACAGCACAATGACCTGAATACCCTGGGCAAGAGCTGCAGCTTCACTAGTTTCCTTTTCATCTGCACCCACTAGCTGCTCCTTGGCATCCGAAACCTCAATGGTTTCTTTTTCTAAGAGGACTACCAATTTCTCCGTTTCTGCGGAGGTCTTAATCCATTTCAGCTGAAGAGCTGGAAGCTCCTTTGGCATTATTGCAATCTAAGGACAAGCAAGGAAGAGGGCATAATCTACATATTAATTCCTTACTGTTCCAATCTTCAGTTCACCACATTTCATAATCATTCAAATTCAGGAAAAAAATCAAAACAAAAATGCACCAACATTTTAGTAGTGGGCAACTAGGTACCAGAATCTGCAGGTGATTTTGCTTTCTAACTAATCAGGAACTGTAGTTTGTTAAGCATGCTGGGAATTGTAGCTCTGAAAGATACAGTGCCCAGGATTCTTTGGAGAAAGTCATGGGCCTTGGTGTGTCGACAGCTATTGTCTTTCAACAATAATATGTTAATAATAGTATGTTAATAGTATGTTAATAATACTGAGCTTGCAAAGGATACAGCAGATAATGAAAACAGATACAAATTTCCTTAAAATCTACCTGTTTCAACAGAACCAGAGACATGGGCTCCTTGGTGACGTGGTCAGACTCCTCCAAGTAGTATTCCACTTGAAATCCATTGAGTAAAAACTTGAAATTGCTTGAGTACTCAATAACGTTCTCTCTCAGTCTCTGTTCATAATACTGAGCTTGCAACAGATATGGCAGATAATGAAAACAGATACAAATTTCCATAAAATCTACCTGTTTCAACATAACCAGAGACATGGGCTCCTTGGTGACATGGTCGGACTCCTCCAAGTAGTATTCCACTAGAAATCCATTGAGTAAAAACTTGAAATTGCTTGAGTACTCAATAACGTTCTCTCTCAGTCTCTGTTCATAATACTGAGCTTGCAACAGATATGGCAGATAATGAAAACAGATACAAATTTCCATAAAATCTACCTGTTTCAACATAACCAGAGACATGGGCTGCTTGGTGACGTGGTGAGACTCCTCCAAGTAGTATTCCACTTGAAATCCATTGAGTAAAAACTTGAAATTGCTTGAGTACTCAAGAACGTTCTCTCTCAGTCTCTGTTCATAATACTGAGCTTGCAACAGATATGGCAGATAATGAAAACAGATACAAATTTCCATAAAATCTACCTGTTTCAACATAACCAGAGACATGGGCTCCTTGGTGACGTGCTCAGACTCCTCCAAGTAGTATTCCACTTGAAATCCATTGAGTAAAAACTTGAAATTGCTTGAGTACTCAAGAACGTTCTCTCTCAGTCTCTGTTCAGAATACTGAGCTTGCAACAGATATGGCAGATAATGAAAACAGATACAAATTTCCATAAAATCTACCTGTTTCAACATAACCAGAGACATGGGCTCCTTGGTGACGTGGTCAGACTCCTCCAAGTAGTATTCCACTAGAAATCCATTGAGTAAAAACTTGAAATTGCTTGAGTACTCAAGAACGTTCTCACTCAGTCTCCTGTACTCTACACCCTGTTGTTTGAAAGTTGCCATTAGCAGCACTGGCTCTGAGAGGTCACCCAACGCTTCCTCGCCGATAGTTTCAAGCAAGACTAGGGTTCCAAACTGGATGGCGTTCTCCAAGGTCCTTACAAAAGTGGAGTCAGACACCTTGATAATGGAAAGATTATAGCTTGCTGCTTCCGTGCCCCTATCCTCCTTTCCTCCCAAGCTCATCTTTTCAGCCCTTTGCAGCTTCAGAGCGCATTCCTCAATCCTCTTTTCAAGTTCGTTTTTCCGTTTATTAAGTGATTCAAGTTCATCGTTTAGGTCCCGGAGATGGTCAATTACTTTCTTTAGTTCGTCTCTGTCCATATTGAGCTTCTGCATCAGCAGAGTGAGCAACCCTTCCTCTTTCCTGAGTTCTTGATGTTTTGGGGCCACCACCTTTGCCACCCGGTCGTACGCTTCCATGGATCCAACTCCTTGGCACAAGCCTTTGCAGGCAGATGATACAGCTGGCTCTATGAAAGCTGGGTGAAAGTCCCCCTGGCTGAAAGTCCACAACTTCTCTCTACTTCTCTTCATTACAGCTGGGAGGAAATTCTCTTTGTCAGAAGTCTTCAAGGAGTCGAGGAATTTCAGGTGCCTTACTACCATTTTGGAACTACCTGAAATTTCAAATAAATACATATATATTAAAATGTTTTCAAAATATAAATATCTCATTTTAAAAATCTGGAAGATTTTCAACCTTCCTGTTCTTTCCCCTATAATAGTTTTTGGAGCATCCAGGTGATTATTAAGCCAAAGGAAATGGATAAGGTCATAAATGACACTTGCATCTATGGTTCATTTTATTGCATTGAATGCAGGGGGAGGGGCTGATGCCCACTGGACTTGTAGGGCAGAATACGGGAGAGTCAACAGTAGTGGGGAATTAGAGCCAATGACAGGCAGAGTGAACTAATTCTGGCTTTGTCCTCACTCTCCTTGCTGCTGAGTTCCATAACAGCAACACTGGGTCTAAGGAGGAAGAGGAGCAGATGGGGGCTGGCTAACAGAGGCTTAGCTTTTTAGGGCAGTTCCCCACTTGCCCTAATGGACTAAAGTCTACTGGTTGAATGTCTGAATATATAATATAAAGTGATACGATGAAGATGTTCAGTATCAACAAAGAAACACATGACAACCCCTCCCAATAGAGGATTAAAAAAATAAATTACCGCTTCCAGTTGAATCATGTTTCCTTTCTGGCTTTTTTTTCACGTTTTCCATGCCCAACGTGACAGGTCCTTGTGGATCGTTTATGCAGTTCACAAATGAGGTATTTGTCACCTTCACGGTCTGGAGAGCCAAAAACGGACCTTCCAGGGCGGGCATTCGCTCCACCAGGTCGCTCTCGCACTCCTCCTGTAATGACATCAAATATATTCTCAGTAGGGATTTGATAGCCCTGGTCTCCCCCGGCCTAACACGCTAACTGCATCACACTCACTCTCTTGTGACCCCACAAAAGGGGCAATGGAGGAGCTTCATGCTCCGGCACCGGGGGGGCAGAGAGAAGGCGGGGCGGGGCGTGCGTCCTGGGGGCGGGAAGCGCTGCCTGTGGGGGTGGGGTGCCCAGCGCGGGGGCAGCTGCAATGGCACCCTGCCAGGATCATGCTGCCGGGGGTGGTGTGCTCCCCCTGCACTCCTCTTCCTCTGCCAGTGAAAGGGGGGGGGTTAGACATTTTTAGCAATAAATGCAAATGTTTTACCTTTAAAGGTAAAGGGTAAAAGGACCCCTGACTGTTAGGTCCAGTCGCGGACGACTCTGGGGTTGTGGCGCTCAACTCGCTTTACTGGCTGAGGGAGCTGGCGTCCAGCTTCCGGGCACGTGGCCAGCATGACTAAGCCGCTTCTGGCAAACCAGAGCAGCATACAGAAACGCCGTTTACCCTCCCACCAGAGCGGTACCTATTTATCTACTTGCACTTAGACATGCTTTTGAACTGCTAGTTTGGCAGGAGCAGGGACCGAGCAACGGGAGCTCACCCCGTCACGGGGATTCAAACTGCAGACCTTCGTATCGGCAAGCCCTATGCTAGTCACATTTTTTTCTTACCTCAGCATGCTTGGTGCCAGAAATTGACACTAAGAGAATTATCCAGAAAATCGACATCGTAATCTATGAAAAAAGAAAAGCAGATGAATATTGTTTTTAGACAGCTTTTAAATCCCAGAACACTTTCCCGCCTAGGCTGTTCACCTAACAACTTACCTATTTGCAGCTCATTTGCTGAAATGCCCTCTGTGCACCAGATAACCCCAATATAAACTTAACATTGGATTGTGATGTAATCTGGCACCCCTGTCTTGGATTATTATGCCAAGATGGGAAAAGTAAAAATTGTCATTGCTAGGCAAAATTTCAGTGATAAAAATGAATGTTTTGCCTAGCATGATATTTTTATTTCAAATAATACCTCTTGCGACTGATTCACTATTTAAAGAATGGCAAAAGGGGTTTATCTAAGTGTTATGGCAATGAAAAAAACCACAAGTTAAAATGAAAGTACTGCAAGATGTAAAGCAAAGGGGAGGATTGGAACTGCCTGATTAGAAATTGTATTTTGCCACCTATTGCTTAGCGTGGATGAAGGAGTGAGTGATCCTAAGAAATAGGGGGATTTTGGAATTAGAGAGTCATGATTTAAGGTTTGGGTGACATGGATATCTGTGGTATGACAAGGTCAAAGTGAATATGGACTTTCAAAATCATTTTGTTAGATGCACTATATTGAGAATCTGGAGTAGATATAAACCTAGGTTGTAGATGAAGATACCCCTATGGACTTCAGTGCAAGACGCATTTCATATGGAAATAGGTACAGGTAAAGAGAAATGGTTAGCCTAGGGAGGCCAGATGACTTCACCTATTACAACTTTCCATTTTATAGGTTTGTACAGCTGTTCTTCTGGTTTGTGCCAGAGCTTTCCTACATCCCACTCTTCCTGAATTCTGGGTGAAGTAGAATAATTCCAGAACAAAAAGTCCAGAACTGCAGCACATGTGCTTTACTACAGTTTTAAGTTTCCCCAGTTCATTTCTTTCCATACACATACCAGTGTCCTCTGCACTTTAAGCTGGACGCAGCTCAACATGGGCTTCCTCCAGAAAATTCCACAAGGCAGAAATCCAGAGTCCTGTTCTTTGATCTCTGTTAAGGCCGAATAGTTTCTTGTGTGGTATCTGTGGTAACATCATTCTAAGAGGCCTGAGTTTCTATCCCCCAGAATGTCAGTCATTGCACACATCCTCTAAATTGTGTCCAGCCCATTCACTGCATGAGATATATGTTGTTCCCCTTTGAATTTCCATCTTTTGAGTTCTGGCCTTAAAGGAACTAAAAGACTGAATATTACTATCTGGTTACAGCAAAAGAAGAAGTAGAAGAAGAGTTTGGATTTGATATCCCGCCTTTCACTCCCTTTAAGGAGTCTCAAAGCGGCTAACATTCTCCTTACCCTTTCTCCCCCACAACAAACACTCTGTGAGGTGAGTGGGGCTGAGAGACTTCAGAGAAGTGTGACTGGCCCAAGGTCACCCAGCAGCTGCATGTGCAGGAGCGGGGACGCGAACCCGGTTCCCCAGATTACGAGACTACCGCTCTTAACCACTACACCACACTGGCTCTCCAAAAGCTCAGGAGTGGAACAATTATTCAATCCATGTTTCATATTTGACTCATCCTCTTCTTTCTTCTATATCCAATCCAGTCATTTCTTCCTGTCCAACTGATTATAATAATAGCTTTCCCCTTTGAAGTTGTGCCTTACCTATCCTACTGCTTTCGAAGCTGCTGTGGCTGTCTGTCCCATAGAAAATAAACAAAAGAGTGTGTGCATCTGTGTGTGTGTATCCTGACTGATCAAACAGCAACATAAAACAGAATAGGGGGAAAAATAAAATAAAAGTAGCAGACTCAAATAAACTTTGTGATCAGTCAATATACGCCCAAAATCTAATAGCTGTGTTCCCTTCACAGAGCTGCAAGCTCCAGAGTTCCCTAGGAAGAGGAACTAACCTCTCAGCACCCTTAATAAACTCCAGTTCCCAATATTTTAGAGGGGGGGATTCATGACTGTGTAAATAGGTATGATATTGCTTTAAATGTATGGTGCAGATGGGGCCTAAAACCACCAGAAGATTAATATCTGGGGTAGAGAGTGGAAGGCAGAGGGCAAGGAAGACCTTACACAGGAATGGACGGATTATGAAGTTAACAGAATCAAAGAATCATAGAGCTAGAATGGAAGAGAGGGTCATCTAGTTCAACATCCTGCAATGCAGGGGCTCAAAGCCATGACCCTGACCTGAAAATGAAAGCCAAGGTAGGAACTGGGGAAAGCCAGAAGCGAAGTTGAATGAAATGACAAAGCAAAGAGTTGGGCTCAACCCAAGAAAGAAAACTGGGAGCAAAGTAAAGAGGACTTCCAGACCAGCGTTAGTCTTGGGTGGGATTCAGCCACATCCCAGCAAATCCTTGTTGTGCAGTCAAGGTGAATGGGAGGCCTTGAACAACAAACCCACTCCTCCCAAAAGAATGGACTTTTTACAAAATTTTCCCCCTCTGGAGAAAGCTGATAGTTTTCCAGGACTTCTGCATCTTTACAATATGCAATTGGAAAGAACAGAGAGCTGGAGAAGCCTGTCCTTGTCGTCCAGTAATCTCCTACCATAGTTAGATTCGCCTTGGAACAGAAACAACACATTGGAATGAAAATGGTAAGATGTTTATGGAGAATGCAGAGATACCTTCTGATTAAAACAGAAGACTAAATAAGACTCTGCTCACAAGGTGACCGGAGCCCTAATACAGTGGGCACAGGGGGGAACTGGAACCTACAGTGGGACACTTTTAATAAGCAGCCATATGTTAGCTGGCCTTGCATTACTAGGGATGATGGAGTTTTGTCACAAATCCCAAAATACTATGGGGTTTGTGAGGGCTTTTTGTGACAGGGCTGAGGTGCGGTTTGTGATGGTGCTTTGTGAGAGGGCTCAAGTGGGGTTTCTGATGGCCCTTTGTGAGTGGGCACAGGTGGGGTTTGTGACTCAAACCCTTAGGATGAGTCCCCAGTAGCATTTCATCTTTCAGCCTTGTAGATGTTAGCAGTTATGGAAGTGGACAACAGCCCTTTAAAGAACACAGCCAGCTCCTCTGCAAAGGCAGGGCTAATTGTAGGGCAGGGTTTGCCAACCTCAACCTCTTTGCTGAGACAACATCCACCCATTAACCACAATCAAGAGAAAACTGCAGCCACTGGAGGTTACAGGACCTGTTCATGGTCCTGATAGGGCTTGCCTAAATCTGGGTGTATATTTCTTTTTATTTATTTCACAAGATCTATACACCACTTGATTGGAAGAAAGCCTCAAAGCAGTTTACAAAAAGAGTAAAACCATAAAATCATCTAAAAAAAGGGAAACAACTATTGAAAACATTGAAAAATAAATAAGATCAACAATGGTCAGGAAGTAAATTAAAATGTATGTCCAGATTCTACATTTATGGATGTTTTTAGCAGGCTCCAAAAAGTGTAGAGTGAAGGTACCTGCTTGGGAGTTCCATCTGAAAATATCTATTTCTTACAAATGCGGATCAAGTATTATGTGGCACTTGTAACAGTGCCAGTTCCACAGATCCAAGCAGTTGCATGGGCATATATAGGATAAGGAAATCTCACAAGTAAACTAGGGACAAGCTGTTAAAGGCTTTATATACTAACCTGTATATTTGACCTTGGCCCTGAACTTGAAACTGCTAAATTGCATCTTTGCATTAAAGCAACAAAATCGCCAAACCAAGCCACAAATGCTTCTGGTCTTGCAGGCTTTGCATTTAAGCGTGGTGGGAGATTAAAATGTTTGCGGCCACTGCAGTCATTCCCCCCGCACCCCCGTCTGTCTTTCTTTTTCACCCCACACTCGTGACCAGTAATAAAACCAGAAGCTCTTTTCTTCAGCAAGAACAATCACACAGTTTTACACCCCAGAATGGTTTTAAAATTAAAAATTGGCAGGCGTCCACTTTACATCTCACCCGCCCTCTGCTAAGAGAAGATTGGAGGGGTGATTTAAAAAGAAAGAAGGGGGCACTTGTGTCAACAGAGTCTGCCCCAAGAGAGAAACCTTTTTCTTGCAGATGCCTTGAAAGCACAACTTAGGTGCTCCTTTATTACTTCAGAGAATTCTACAAGGCAGAAATGCAGAGTCCTGTTCTTTGATCTCTGTTAAAGCTGAATTGTTTCTTGTGTGGTATTTGTGGAAACATCATTGTAAGAGGTCTGAGTTATTCTTCCCCAGAATGTGTAGTTTCATTCAGGGGAGTGTTCATGGCTGGCATTGCCTCGGCAAGATCTCCCTCGCACTCCTCCTGTAATCATATCAAATATACCACATAGTCAGGATGAACAGTCCAGTGAAACAATAACTTTCCAAGAACCACCCTTTCCTTTCTTATTCCAGGTGCTGCCACTGGATGTGCCTTCATTGGAATTGATTGAGGGCCCTCTCGGTGGCAGTTCCCCACCAGTCAAATGCACTCCCTGGTGCAATGGGAACAGGCTCACCCAGTGAGTTTTAGATTTGAACCCTGGTCTCCCCTGGCCTAACACTCAGCTGCATCACACTCACTCACTTATGACACCACAAAAGGAGGGCATTTTTAGCTCAATATTACTTTTAACTCTGGGGTAAATAGCAACCTTGGGGAGGCAGATCAGAACAGGTGAGGGGCCACAAGGGGTTGAATCCCCTCTCAGCAACATCATGTGTGAACATCCCCTCTTAATTGCCGCTCTTTCATTAAAAACCAACTGTGGAAGGCACATCATGTGCTGACAGTGCAGTCCTGTGTGTGCAATTTTTTTCAGTCTTCTTGGGTTCAAAGGGGCTTAATCTCAGGTAAGTTGGCATAGCAGAGGATGGGCAGGGAGCACCAGGCTGCACAGCACAATGACCTGAATACCCTGGGCAAGAGCTGCAGCTTCACTAGTTTCCTTTTCATCTGCACCCAATAGCTGCTCCTTGGCATCCGAAACCTCAATGGTTTCTTTTTCTAAGAGGACTACCAATTTCTCCGTTTCTGCGGAGGTCTGAATCCATTTCAGCTGAAGAGCTGGAAGCACCTTTCGCATTATTGCAATCTAAGGACAACCAAGGGAGAGGGCATAATCTACATATTAATTCCTTACTGTTCCAATCTTCAGTTCACCACATTTCATAATCATTCAAATTCAGGAAAAAAATCAAAACAAAAATGCACCAACATTTTAGTGGGCAACTAGGTACCAGAATCTGCCGGTGATTTTGCTTTCTAACTAATCAGGAGCTGTAGTTTGTTAAGGGTGCTGGGAATTGTAGCTCTGAAAGATACAGTGCCCAGGATTCTTGGGAGGAAGTGATGGGCCTTGGTGTGTCGACAGCTATTGTCTTTCAACAATAATATGTTAATAATAGTATGTTAATAGTATGTTAATAATACTGAGCTTGCAAAGGATACAGCAGATAATGAAAACAGATACAAATTTCCATAAAATCTACCTGTTTCAACATAACCAGAGACATGGGCTCCTTGGTGATGTGGTCAGACTCCTCCAAGTAGTATTCCACTTGAAATCCATTGAGTAAAAACTTGAAATTGCTTGAGTACTCAATAACATTCTCTCTCAGTCTCTTTTCATAATACTGAGCTTGCAACAGATATGGCAGATAATGAAAACAGATACAAATTTCCATAAAATCTACCTGTTTCAACATAACCAGAGACATGGGCTCCTTGGTGATGTGGTTGTTGATTTAAAGCAGAGTCTTGTGCCCAGCGGAAGGATGAGCAATACGTGCTACATACTCTATATTGCTTTATTTACAGTTCAAAGCTGGTATATTACAGAAAGACATCTTGTCTCTGCAGGAGCAGAAAAATGCATCCTCTCTCCTCCACAGCTCGGAGAGAAACACACAGTGAAAAACAGGAAACCAGTGTACGTCACATCCAGTCTCCCTTTCCCGTGAGAAACTCCAACAGTACAGACTGTGGAATGTAAACACCTGTCTCATGACAAGCAGAGCTGCACAGTGAAGGAAAGCAGAAACCAACATCCTCCCCCTTTCTGTGAACATCACTGGGCAGCGTGTTTGCACAATATCAGTACAAACCCAACTTCTGCACATAGGTACAGTGTTGATCCCTTGATACAATCTTGGACAATACATCAGCAGGAATTTCATTACCTGGCATATAGGACACCGTTACGAGTCCCTTCTGAATACATTCCCTAGCATGCTGCAACTTTAATTGTAAGTGCTTTGTGCTTTGCTTACAACCTTCAGACTTCAGCAAAGCCAAACATGCTTTGTTGTCCTGGTAAACCTGGATTGGACATTTGACAGGAATTTTCATATCTTTGCACAATTGTACTAACCATTCACAATCCTTAAGTGAATAAGACAGTGCATTCAGTTCGGCTTCACAAGTACTTAAGCTAACTGTTGTTTGCTTCTTGCATGACCAATCAAATAGACTCTGATTGTACATGTAGCAAACTCCAGACGTACTTTTCCTGTCTGTAGCGTCACTTCCAAAACTTGCATCTGCAAATATCTCAAGACCACCAGACTTCTGATTGTTAAATCTCAGTCTGTAATGCATAGTGCCTTTCAAATACCGCGCTATGCGTTTCAGAGCTTTCCAATCCTTGACACTAGGATTGTTGACTTGTCTGCTTAGCAAATTACAGCTAACAGCAATGTCTGGTCTTGAACATCTGGCAATGAAGTTTAGCTTGCCTAGCACACTCCTGTACAGTGTAGTGTCAGAAAATGCTTCTTCAGTGTCATCTACCTGATAACCTGTTGTCATCGGTGTGTCTACAGGGTTAGCATCCATCAGATTTAGTTTGCTTAACACATCAGCAATTTTCCGTGACTGGTGTACTAGAATGTTACCATCTTGATCTCTCTCTATTTCCAGAGATAGGTAGTTGTTTACCTCACCAAGATCTTTCATGTCAAAGTGCTCTTTCAGTTGAGCTAAGGCGCTATTGTACATTGCAACATCTTTCCAAAAGAATAATAAATCATCAACATAAAACAAACAGTACAGTTTCTTTTGCCCCTCCTCTTTGACAAATACACATGGATCAGCTTTCCCTTGCTGAAAACCTAGAGAAAACAATACTTCAGTAAGTTTTGTGTGCCAACACCGTGCACTTTGTTTGAGACCATAAAGGGATTTCTTCAGAGCACAAACAAATCCCTGTTTTACCTGTACGCCATCAGGTGGAAGCATATAAAGTGATTCATCTAGAGATCCGTACAGAAAAGCTGTATTAATATCATGGTGACTAATGTGTAGATTTTCCTCTGCAGCTAGCTTAAGCATAAGCCTAATGCTTTCATATCTCACTGTGGGTGAATAGGTCTCGTGATAGTCTTGACCTGGTACCTGTGCAAAACCTCTGGCTACCAATCTGGCTTTGTGTCTGACTATCTTGCCATTTTGATCTGTCTTCGCTTTGAAGACCCATTTGCTTCCAAGCAGTTTCATTCCTGGAACTACTGGAACTAGCTCCCATGTTTTGTTCCTTTCTAAGGAATCAAGCTCAGCCTTCATGGCATTTAACCATGGCTCAGCTTCCTTTGAATCCAAACCCTGGATTTCTTGGAAACTTGAAGGTTCAAATACCTTCTTGGAGCTTTTAACAGCTGTTACTGCTATCTTAGCAAACTCATCAGCAAATCTCTTTGGAGGTTTGCCTTTGTGGCTCTCTGTGACCTACGAATTAGCCTTAAGTCTTCAACACTCTCCTCTTCCTTCTTAGGAGAAAAACGACCTATTGTGAACAATGGTTCCTCCAATTCTTGATCAGAGCTTTCAGAGGGTCGCATAGAGGCTTTCGCACTCTTGAAATCCTCTGAATCACCCGATTCAGTTTCAGATTCAGACTCAGAACCTTCATCAGTGGGTGTGGGCTGTTGTGGTTGCTTTTGACTATCCTCAGTCTCATCACCGTCATCAGGATAACATTGGAAAATTCCCACATTCCCCCCCCCACTTTGCATTGTACTCAACACTTCTTGTGAGCTTAATTGTCTTAGAGTCAGTCATCATTATTCTGTAAGACCCTTTCTGATAACCTAGAAAGATACCATGCAATCCACGCTTGTCTAACTTGGAGTTTTGTGGTGAGCGAACCCACATGTCAGAACCAAAATCTTCATGTGTTTGATGTATGGCTTCTTGCCAAACATCTTCTCATAGAGGTACATCCAATCGCTGAAGATAACCTGCGATTGTAACTGTAAACAAAACACGAGAGAGATTCGGCCCAATAACTCTCTGAAAGATTGGCATCATGCAGCAAGGTTTTTAACCCTTGAAGCAAAGTCTGATTTGCCCGTTCCGCAAGTCCATTCTGCCATGGCGAGCGAGGACTAGACAAATCGTGTTGAATTCCTTTCTCAGTCAGAAAAGCTTCAAACTGCTGAGAAGTGAATTCCCCAGCGATCACTGAAAAGAGTCTTTATCTTCTTACCATGCACATTTTCCAACCAAGCACAGAATTCCTTGAACCTAGGAAAAGCCTCCGATTTCTGCTTGAGATTGTACACAAAAATATATCTAGAAAATGCATCAATGAGAACCATGAAGTATCTATTTCCACCCAAAGAGGGCGCTAATGGTCCAACCAAATCAGCATGAACAACCTGGTATGGTTCTGTAGCTTTCCTACTAGACACCTTACCTTTCGCAGCCATTTTCACCTTGTTTGCTGCGCATGCTTTGCACTTCATGTGGTACTTGCAGGGTTTAATAGTCATACCTTCAACCAAGGCAGGCATTTTAGATACTGCCTCAAAATGCAAATGACCAAATTTTCGATGAAAATCGTGAATACATTCTGCATGTAAACTTTTGTTAGAACCTGCAATGCAACAAGTGTCATCCTGCACCACATCATCATAATACAAAACAAACAAATGATCAACATATTCTGCATGCAATACATAATCATTTTTCTTTGTGATGATGCACTTCTTGTTCTTGAAGGAAACGTCAATGTTCCGCTCATTCAGCTGTCCAACGCTGAGCAGATTATGTTTGGCGTCTGGCACGTAAAGCACATTCTGTATCGATAAGTCCAAACTGTGAAGAACAACAGTTCCGTAGCCTTTACTGGGAATAGTGTGGTCATCCGCCTGGTGAATCGCACCTTCCTGCGGTGTAAAAGACACAAACAGTTTCTTATCGTTGCACATGTGGTGGGTGGCCGCTGAATCAACAACGAAGAAAGATCTAGACGTCTTCTGGACCTCTGCAACCTTTGGAGTGAAGCGTGAAACCATAGCCTTGTGCTGCGTTGTCCTAGACACCGGACCTTTGCCTTTGCCTCGGCCTTTTCCGCGCGATGAGCTTTCGCTGCGCTGCTCTGTCTTGGCCCTGGGATGTCTGCATTCCCTCTTCATATGGCCTAGACGTCCACACGAGTTGCATTTCACTGCCTTCAAAGCTTTGGCGCCATCTGGTGGTTCCACTGCACTATGGGATGACGTCTGTGAAGACTCCCCCTTGCCCATGCAGCTAGCACCCCGGCGATCTGCTTCATTTAATATCACGGCAGTAACAAAGTCCACTGTCAGCTGAGCAGTTGGTTGCACAGCAATCTGGGTTGCAACAGACTCCCAACCTGAACCCAAAGATTGTAGTATCATGAAAGAATACACAGCCTCTGGAAAGTTGAGTCCTCTCTGTTGCAGCTCATGTCTCAGATTTTGCATCTCCATTAGATGAAAACGCACATCTCCACCTTCAGCAAGAGCCATATTATGCAGCTTGTTAAAGTAAAACATGGTGGATCCAGCTTCTGTCCTTAAGTGAGCCTCTCTCAGAGCGTCCCAAATTTCTCTGGCTGAGGTCTTATCACGCAATAGACAGAGCTCTTCTGGGGATACTATCAATGTAAGAGTTCCCCTCGCTTTGGAATCCTTAGCTTCCCATGCATCTGTAACTGGAACTGGGGGGGGTTCCTGTAATCACCTCAAACAAACCCTCTTTCCGCAGAATTGCCTCTGCATACTGAACCCAGTCGCTGTAATTTTTCTTGTTGAGCTTAGGAATCCCACAAGCATCCTGAAGGGCCATCATGACTCTGGCATTAGCCTTCAGCGTCATATGCTGCTTTAAATCTTGCTGCGTCACTGCTGCAGCTGCCTTATTACAAAGGCGCACTTAAAAGTTACTTTCGATTTCCCCAGCATAGTGACTTGTGCCTGGGAGCCTTCGCCTACTCCCGGCAAAACCGGCTTTAAAAGTTCAAAGTCCAGCCATAAAGCCATTAACTTGAAGCTGGCAGGCTGCCCGGAGCAGTAGCACATACCTCATCAATCACTTCTACGCGCAGAGCAGATTCCTTTCCGATCCGTCCCTCTGCATTCCGATCCTTTGCCGGCACTCCGATTCGACCTCTGGAGTCCATAACCACGTGTTGATTTAAAGCAGAGTCTTGTGCCCAGCGGAAGGATGAGCAATACGTGCTACATACTCTATATTGCTTTATTTACAGTTCAAAGCTGGTATATTACAGAAAGACATCTTGTCTCTGCAGGAGCAGAAAAATGCATCCTCTCTCCTCCACAGCTCGGAGAGAAACACACAGTGAAAAAACAGGAAACCAGTGTACGTCACATCCAGTCTCCCTTTCCCGTGAGAAACTCCAACAGTACAGACTGTGGAATGTAAACACCTGTCTCATGACAAGCAGAGCTGCACAGTGAAGGAAAGCAGAAACCAACAGTGGTCAGCCTCCTCCAAGTAGTATCCCACTTGAAATCCATTGAGTAAAAACTTGAAATTGCTTGAGTACTCAAGAACGTTCTCACTCAGTCTCTGTTCAAAATACTGAGCTTGCAACAGATACGGCAGATAATGAAAACAGATACAAATTTCCATAAAATCTACCTGTTTCAACATAACCAGAGACATGGGCTCCTTGGTGATGTGGTCAGACTCCTCCAAGTAGTATTCCACTTGAAATCCATTGAGTAAAAACTTGAAATTGCTTGAGTACTCAATAACGTTCTCTCTCAGTCTCTGTTCATAATACTGAGCTTGCAACAGATATGGCAGATAATGAAAACAGATACAAATTTCCATAAAATCTACCTGTTTCAACATAACCAGAGACATGGGCTCCTTGGTGACGTGGTCAGACTCCTCCAAGTAGTATTCCACTAGAAATCCATTGAGTAAAAACTTGAAATTGCTTGAGTACTCAAGAACGTTCTCACTCAGTCTCCTGTACTCTACACCCTGTTGTTTGAAAGTTGCCATTAGCAGCACTGGCTCTGAGAGGTCACCCAACGCTTCCTCGCCGATATTTTCAAGCAAGACTAGGGTTCCAAACTGGATGGCGTTCTCCAAGGTCCTTACGTAAGTGGAGTCAGACACCTTGATAATGGAAAGATTATAGCTTGCTGCTTCCGTGCCCCTATCCTCCTTTCCTCCCAAGCTCATCTTTCCAGCCCTTTCCAGCTTCAGAGCGCATTCCTCAATCCTCTTTTCAAGTTCTTTTTTCCGTTTAGTAAGTGATTCAAGTTCATCGTTTAGGTCCCGGAGACGGTCAATTACTTTCTTTAGTTCGTCTCTGTCCATATTGAGCTTCTGCATCAGCAGAGTGAGCAACCCTTCCTCTTTCCTGAGTTCTTGATGTTTTGGGGCCACCACCTTTGCCACCTGGTCGTACGCTTCCATGGATCCAACTCCTTGGCACAAGCCTTTGCAGGCAGATGATACAGCTGGCTCTATGAAAGCTGGGTGAAAGTCCACCTGGCTGAAAGTCCACAACTTCTCTCGACTTCTCTTCATTACAGCTGGGAGGAAATTCTCTTTGTCAGAAGTCTTCAAGGAGTCGAGGAATTTCAGGTGCCTTACTACCATTTTGGAACTACCTGAAATTTCAAATAAATACATATATATTAAAATGTTTTCAAAATATAAATATCTCATTTTAAAAATCTGGAAGATTTTCAACCTTCCTGTTCTTTCCCCTATAATAGTTTTTGGAGCATCCAGGTGATTCTTAAGCCAAAGGAAATGGATAAGGTCATAAATGACACTTGCATCTATGGTTCATTTTATTGCATTGAATGCAGGGGGAAGGCTGATGCCCATTGGACTTGTAGGGCAGAATACGGGAGAGTCAACAGTAGTGGGGAATTAGAGCCAATGACAGGCAGAGTGAACTAATTCTGGCTTTGTCCTCACCCTCCTTGCTGCTGAGTTCCATAACAGCAACACTGGGTCTAAGGAGGAACAGGAGCAGATGGGGGCTGGCTAACAGAGGCTTAGCTTTTTAGGGCAGTTCCCCACTTGCCCTAATGGACTAAAGTCTACTGGTTGAATGTCTGAATATATAATATAAAGTGATACGATGAAAATGCTCAGTATCAACAAAGAAACACATGACAACCCCTCCCAATAGAGGATTAAAAAAATAAATTACCGCTTCCAGTTGAATCATGTTTCCTTTCTGGCTTTTTTGTCATGTTTTCCATGCCCAACTTGACAGGTCCTGGTGGATCGTTTATGCAGTTCACAAATGAGGTATTTGTCACCTTCACGGTCTGGAGAGCCAAAAACGGACCTTCCAGGGCGGGCATTCGCTCCACCAGGTCGCTCTCGCACTCCTCCTGTAATGACATCAAATATATTCTCAGTAGGGATTTGATAGCCCTGGTCTCCCCCGGCCTAACACGCTAACTGCATCACACTCACTCTCTTGTGACCCCACAAAAGGGGCAATGCTGGAGCTTCATGCTCCGGCACTGGGGGGCAGAGAGAAGGCGGGGCGGGGCGTGCGTCCTGGGGGCGGGAAGCGCTGCCTGTGGGGGCGGGGTGCCCAGCACGGGGGCAGCTGCAATGGCACCCTGCCAGGATCATGCTGCCGGGGGTGGTGTGCTCCCCCTGCACTCCTCTTCCTCTGCCAGTGAAATGGCGGGGGCGTTTTTAGACATTTTTAGCAATAAATGCAAATGTTTTACCTTTAAAGGTAAAGGGTTAAAGAACCCCTGACTGTTAGGTCCAGTCGCGGACGACTCTGGGGTTGTGGCGCTCAACTCGCTTTACTGGTTGAGGGAGGTGGCGTCCAGCTTCCGGGCACGTGGCCAGCATGACTAAGCCGCTTCTGGCAAACCAGAGCAGCATACAGAAACGCCGTTTACCCTCCCACCAGAGCGGTACCTATTTATCTACTTGCACTTAGACATGCTTTTGAACTGCTAGGTTGGCAGGAGCAGGGACCGAGCAACAGGAGCTCACCCCGTCACGGGGATTCAAACTGCAGACCTTCGTATCGGCAAGCCCTATGCTAGTCACATTTTTTTCTTACCTCAGCATGCCTGGTGCCAGAAATTGACACCAAGAGAATTATCCAGAAAATCGACATCGTAATCTAAGAAAAAAGAAAAGCAGATGAATATTGTTTTTAGACAGCTTTTAAATCCCAGAACACTTTCCCGCCTAGGCTGTTCACCTAACAACTTACCTATTTGCAGCTCATTTGCTGAAATGCCCTCTGTGCACCAGATAACCCCAATATAAACTTAACATTGGATTGTGATGTAATCTGGCACCCCTGTCTTGGATTATTATGCCAAGATGGGAAAAGTTAAAATTGTCATTGCTAGGCAAAATTTCAGTGATAAAAATGAATGTTTTGCCTAGCATGATATTTTTATTTCAAATAATACCTCTTGCGACTGATTCACTATTTAAAGAATGGCAAAAGGGGTTTATCTAAGTGTTATGGCAATGAAAAAAACCACAAGTTAAAATGAAAGTACTGCAAGATGTAAAGCAAAGGGGAGGATTGGAACTGCCTGATTAGAAATTGTATTTTGCCACCTATTGCTTAGCGTGGATGAAGGAGTGAGTGATCCTAAGAAATAGGGGGATTTTGGAATTAGAGAGTCATGATTTAAGGTTTGGGTGACATGGAAATCAGCAGTATGACAAGGTCAAAGTGAATATGGACTTTCAAAACCATTTTGTTAGATGCACTATATTGAGAATCTGGAGTAGATCTAAACCTATGCTGTAGGTGAAGATACCCCTATGGACTTCAGTGCAAGACGCATTTCATATGGAAATAGGTGACAGGTAAAGAGAAATGGTTAGCCTAGGGAGGCCAGATGACTTCACCTATTACAACTTTCCTTTTTATAGGTTTGTTAGATTTGTGCATTGCTTGCCACTAAGAAATTGCCAATGCTATGTACAGCTGTTCTTCTGCTTTGTGCCAGAGCATTCCAACATCCCACTCTTCCTGAATTCTGGGTGAAGTAGAATAATTCCAGAACAAAAAGTCCAGAACTGCGGCACATGTGCTTTACCACAGTTTTAAGTTTCCCCAGTTCATTTCTTTCCATGCACATACCAGTGTGCTCTGCACTTTAAGCTGGACGCAGCTCAACATGGGCTTCCTCCATGACATTTCCATATCTTTCTAGGGCACAAATGAGATGGGAGAACTAACGCAGTTGCTCCCTCAGTCTTAGGGCGCAACAAGGTGGAGGTGGGCGAGCGGGAAGATGAAGCTCACAGGATCCTTATCAAGCAAAGCAATATACAGTGTCATCATGGAAAGAGTGAGATGGATGGGGGACGTCTTAGCCATGACCCTGCAATGATGGCGAAGAAATTCCAAACAAGGCTGAACTGGCCCCATGAATAAGTCGTCAGCCTGAAAGTTGGAAAAGAGTAAATGGCTTTCAAATGCAGCAAAAGTTGCATTATTACCAATAAGAACAGTTTGCTATCAGTCAATATGCAGAGCCAGACCAATACATTTTGCTGCCTGAAGCAAAAAGCCAAAACAAAACGGTGCCTCTTCAATCCCATTCCACATACAGTAGCCAATTGAGCTGGCAGCTGAGTCTTACAATGGGGCGGACAAACTCCAGACAAAGCATGGGATAACCCACCTAAGGTTATCAGGACAGTGGTGTCTCGGGCTGCCATGGGAATAACACAGGTCAGCCTGAGCTGTTTCCTTTGAATAGAGTGATGCGAGGAACAGCAGCTTATGAACACTTCTCCAAGTGTTTTGTGCTCTTGGTAGCACTTGTGTCAACAGGGTCTGGCTCAAGTAAGAAACCTTTTTCTTGCAGATGTCTTGAAAGCACAACTTAGGTGCTCCTTTATCCCTTCAGAAAATTCCACAAGGCAGAAATGCAGAGTCCTGTTCTTTGATCTCTGTTAAGGCCGAATAGTTTCTTGTGTGGTATTTGTGGAAACATCATTCTAAGAGGCCTGAGTTACTTTCCCCCAGAATGTCAGTCATTGCACACGTCCTCTAAAATGTGTCCAGCCCATTCACTGCATGAGATATATGTTGTTCCCCTTTGAATTTCCATCTTTTGAGTTCTGGCCTTAAAGGAACTAAAAGACTGAATTTGTTGTTGTTTAGTCGTTTAGCAGTGTCCAACTCTTCGTGACCCCATGGACCAGAGCACGCCAGGCTTGAATACTGCAAAGCATATCCATAAGGCAAGTGAGCTGGTGCAGTGAGGTATTGTGTGGCCTAATTAGCCAAGCCAATATTACTATCTGGTTACAGCAAAAGAAGAAGAAGAAGAAGAGTTTGGATTTGATATCCCGCCTTTCACTCCCTTTAAGGAGTCTCAAAGCGGCTAACATTCTCCTTACCCTTCCTCCCCCACAACAAACACTCTGTGAGGTGAGTGGGGCTGAGAGACTTCAAAGAAGTGTGACTGGCCCAAGGTCACCCAGCAGCTGCATGTGGAGGAGCGGAGACGCGAACCCGGTTCCCCAGATTACGAGACTACCGCTCTTAACCACTACACCACACTGGCTCTCCAAAAGCTCAGGGGTGGAACAATTATTCAATCCATGTTTCCTATTTGACTCATCCTCTTCTTTCTTCTATATCCAATCCAGTCATTTCTTCCTGTCCAACTGATTATAATAATAGCTTTCCCCTTTGAAGTTGTGCCTTACCTATCCTACTGCTTTCTAAGCTGCTGTGGCTGTCTGTCCCATAGAAAATAAAGAAAAGAGTGTGTGCATCTGTGTGTGTGTGTGTGTGTGTGTGTGTGTGTATCCTGACTGATCAAACAGCAACATAAAACAAAATAGGGGGGGAAATAAAATAAAAGTAGCAGACTCAAATAAACTTTGTGATCAGTCAATATACGCCCAAAATCTAATAGCTGTGTTCCCTTCACAGAGCTGCAAGCTCCAGAGTTCCCTAGGAAGAGGAACTAACCTCTCAGCACCCTTAATAAACTCCAGTTCCCAATATTTTAGAGGGGGGATTCATGACTGTGTAAATAGGTATGATATTGCTTTAAATGTATGGTGCAGATGGGGCCTAAAACCACCAGAAGATTAATATCTGGGGTAGAGAGTGGAAGGCAGAGGGCAAGGAAGACCTTACACAGGAATGGACGGATTATGAAGTTAACAGAATCAAAGAATCATAGAGCTAGAATGGAAGAGAGGGTCATCTAGTTCAACATCCTGCAATGCAGGGGCTCAAAGCCATGACCCTGACCTGAAAATGAAAGCCAAGGTAGGAACTGGGGAAAGCCAGAAGCGAAGTTGAATGAAATGACAAAGCAAAGAGTTGGGCTCAACCCAAGAAAGAAAACTGGGAGCAAAGTAAAGAGGACTTCCAGACCAGCGTTAGTCTTGGGTGGGATTCAGCCACATCCCAGCAAATCCCTGTTGTGCAGTCAAGGTGATTGGGAGGCCTTGAACAACAAACCACTCCTCCCAAAAGAATGGACTTTTTACAAAATATTCCCCCTCTGGAGAAAGCTGATAGTTTTCCAGGACTTCTGCATCTTTACAATATGCAATTGGAAAGAACAGAGAGCTGGAGAAGCCTGTCCTTGTCGTCCAGTAATCTCCTACCATAGTTAGATTCGCCTTGGAACAGAAACAACGCATTGGAATGAAAATGGTAAGATGTTTATGGAGAATGCAGAGATACCTTCTGATTAAAACAGAAGACTAAATAAGACTCTGCTCACAAGGTGACCGGAGCCCTAATACAGTGGGCACAGGGGGGAACTGGAACCTACAGTGGGACACTTTTAATAAGCAGCCATATGTTAGCTGGCCTTGCATTACTAGGGATGATGGAGTTTTGTCACAAATCCCAATATACTATGGGGTTTGTGAGGGCGTTTTGTGACAGGGCTGAGGTGGGGTTTGTGATAGTCGTCTGTGAGTGGGCTGAGGTGGGGTTTTTGATGGTGCTTTGTGATTGGGCTGAGGTGGGGTTTGTGATAGTCGTCTGTGAGTGGGCTGAGGTGGGGTTTGTGATGGTGCTTTGTGAGAGGGCTGAGGTGGGGTTTGTGATGGCCCTTTGTGAGTGGGCTGAGGTGGGGTTTGTGACTCAAACCCTTAGGATGAGTCCCCAGTAGCATTTCATCTTTCAGCCTTGTAGATGTTAGCAGTTATGGAAGTGGACAACAGCCCTTTAAAGAACACAGCCAGCTCCTCTGCAAAGGCAGGGCTAATTGCAGGGCAGGGTTTGCCAACCTCAACCTCTTTGCTGAGACAACATCCACCCATTAACCACAATCAAGAGAAAACTGTAGCCACTGGAGGTCACAGGACCTGTCCATGGTTCTGATAGGGCTTGCCTAAATCTGGGTGTATATTTACACCCAGGTACCTGCTTGGGAGCTCCATCTGAAAATATCTATTTCTTACAAATGCAGATCAAGTATTATGTGGCACTTGTAACAGTGCCAGTTCCACAGATCCAAGCAGTTGCATGGGCATATATAGGATAAGGAAATCTCACAAGTAAACTAGGGGCAAGCTGTTAAAGGCTTTATATACTAACCTGTATATTTGACCTTGGCCCTGAACTTGAAACTGCTAAATTGGATCTTTGCATTAAAGCAACAAAATCGCCAAACCAAGCCACAAACGCTTCTGGTTTTGCAGGCTTTACATTTAAGCGTGGTGGGAGATTAAAATGTTTGTGGCCACTGCTGTCATTCCCCCCGAACCCCCGTCTGTCTTTCTTTTTCACCCCACACTCGTGACCAGTAATAAAACCAGAAGCTCTTTTCTTCAGGATCGACTAAGCAAGAACAATCACACAGTTTTACACCCCAGAATGGTTTTAAAATTAAAAATTGGCAGGCGTCCACTTTACATCTCGCCCGCCCTCTGCTAAGGGAAGATTGGAGGGGTGATTTAAAAAGAAAGAAGGGGGCACTTGTGTCAACAGAGTCTGCCCCAAGTAAGAAACCTTTTTCTTGCAGATGCCTTGAAAGCACAACTTAGGTGCTCCTTTATTACTTCAGAGAATTCTACAAGGCAGAAATGCAGAGTCCTGTTCTTTGATCTCTGTTAAAGCTGAATTGTTTCTTGTGTGGTATTTGTGGAAACATCATTGTAAGAGGTCTGAGTTATTCTTCCCCAGAATGTGTAGTTTCATTCAGGGGAGTGTTCATGGCTGGCATTGCCTCGGCAAGGTCTCCCTCGCACTCCTCCTGTAATCATATCAAATATACCACATAGTCAGGATGAACAGTCCAGTGAAACAATAACCCTAACCCTAACCCCTGGCCTAACACTCAGCTGCATCACTCACTTATGACACCACAAAAGGAGGGCATTTTTAACTCAATATTACTTTTAACTCTGGGGTAAATAGCAACCTTGGGAGGCAGATCAGAACGGGTGAGGGGCCACAAGGGGTTGAATCCCCTCTCAGCAACATCATGTGTGAACATCCCCTCTTAATTGCCGCTCTTTCATTAAAAACCAACTGTGGAAGGCACATCATGTGCTGACAGTGCAGTCCTGTGTGTGCAATTTTTTTCAGTCTTCTTGGGTTCAAAGGGGCTTAATCTCAGGTAAGTTGGCATAGCAGAGGATGGGCAGGGAGCACCAGGCTGCACAGCACAATGACCTGAATACCCTGGGCAAGAGCTGCAGCTTCACTAGTTTCCTTTTCATCTGCACCCACTAGCTGCTCCTTGGCATCCGAAACCTCAATGGTTTCTTTTTCTAAGAGGACTACCAATTTCTCCGTTTCTGCGGAGGTCTGAATCCATTTCAGCTGAAGAGCTGGAAGCTCCTTTGGCATTATTGCAATCTAAGGACAACCAAGGAAGAGGGCATAATCTACATATTAATTCCTTACTGTTCCAATCTTCAGTTCACCACATTTCATAATCATTCAAATTCAGGAAAAAAAATCAAAACAAAAATGCACCAACATTTTAGTGGGCAACTAGGTACCAGAATCTGCAGGTGATTTTGCTTTCTAACTAATCAGGAACTGTAGTTTGTTAAGCATGCTGGGAATTGTAGCTCTGAAAGATACAGTGCCCAGGATTCTTTGGAGAAAGTCATGGGCCTTGGTGTGTCGACAGCTATTGTCTTTCAACAATAATATGTTATTAATAGTATGTTAATAGTATGTTAATAATACTGAGCTTGCAAAGGATACAGCAGATAATGAAAACAGATACAAATTTCCTTAAAATCTACCTGTTTCAACATAACCAGAGACATGGGCTCCTTGGTGACGTGGTCAGACTCCTCCAAGTAGTATTCCACTTGAAATCCATTGAGTAAAAACTTGAAATTGCTTGAGTACTCAATAACGTTCTCTCTCAGTCTCTGTTCATAATACTGAGCTTGCAACAGATATGGCAGATAATGAAAACAGATACAAATTTCCATAAAATCTACCTGTTTCAACATAACCAGAGACATGGGCTCCTTGGTGACATGGTCAGACTCCTCCAAGTAGTATTCCACTAGAAATCCATTGAGTAAAAACTTGAAATTGCTTGAGTACTCAATAACGTTCTCACTCAGTCTCTGTTCATAATACTGAGCTTGCAACAGATATGGCAGATAATGAAAACAGATACAAATTTCCATAAAATCTACCTGTTTCAACATAACCAGAGACATGGGCTCCTTGGTGACGTGGTCAGACTCCTCCAAGTAGTATTCCACTTGAAATCCATTGAGTAAAAACTTGAAATTGCTTGAGTACTCAAGAACCTTCTCTCTCAGTCTCTGTTCATAATACTGAGCTTGCAACAGATATGGCAGATAATGAAAACAGATACAAATTTCCATAAAATCTACCTGTTTCAACATAACCAGAGACATGGGCTCCTTGGTGACGTGGTCAGACTCCTCCAAGTAGTATTCCACTAGAAATCCATTGAGTAAAAACTTGAAATTGCTTGAGTACTCAAGAACGTTCTCACTCAGTCTCCTGTACTCTACACCCTGTTGTTTGAAAGTTGCCATTAGCAGCACTGGCTCTGAGAGGTCACCCAACGCTTCCTCGCCGATATTTTCAAGCAAGACTAGGGTTCCAAACTGGATGGCGTTCTCCAAGGTCCTTACGTAAGTGGAGTCAGACACCTTGATAATGGAAAGATTATAGCTTGCTGCTTCCGTGCCCCTATCCTCCTTTCCTCCCAAGCTCATCTTTTCAGCCCTTTGCAGCTTCAGAGAGTAGTCCTCAATCCTCTTTTCAAGTTCTTTTTGCCGTTTATTAAGTGATTCAAGTTCATCGTTTAGGTCCCGGAGACGGTCAATTACTTTCTTTAGTTCGTCTCTGTCCATATTGAGCTTCTGCATCAGCAGAGTGAGCAACCCTTCCTCTTTCCTGAGTTCTTGATGTTTTGGGGCCACCACCTTTGCCACCTGGTCGTACGCTTCCATGGATCCAACTCCTTGGCACACGCCTTTGCGGGCAGATGATACAGCTGGCTCTATGAAAGCTGGGGGAAAGTCCACCTGGCTGAAAGTCCACACCTTCTCTCTACTTCTCTTCATTACAGCTGGGAGGAAATTCTCTTTGTCAGAAGTCTTCAAGGAGTCGAGGAATTTCAGGTGCCTTACTACCATTTTGGAACTACCTGAAATTTCAAATAAATACATATATATTAAAATGTTTTCAAAATATAAATATCTCATTTTAAAAATCTGGAAGATTTTCAACCTTCCTGTTCTTTCCCCTATAATAGTTTTTGGAGCATCCCTGTGATTCTTAAGCAAAAGGCAATGGATAAGGTCATAAAATGACACTTGCATCTATGGTTCATTTTATTGCATTGAATGCAGGGGGAGGGGCTGATGCCCATTTCACTTGTAGGGCAGAATACGGGAGAGTCAACAGTAGTGGGGAATTAGAGCCAATGACAGGCAGAGTGAACTAATTCTGGCTTTGTCCTCACCCTCCTTGCTGCTGAGTTCCATAACAGCAACACTGGGTCTAAGGAGGAACAGGAGCAGATGGGGGCTGGCTAACAGAGGCTTAGCTTTTTAGGGCAGTTCCCCACTTGCCCTAATGGACTAAAGTCTACTGGTTGAATGTCTGAATATATAATATAAAGTGATACGATGAAAATGCTCAGTATCAACAAAGAAACACATGACAACCCCTCCCAATAGAGGATTAAAAAATTAAATTACCGCTTCCAGTTGAATCATGTTTCCTTTCTGGCTTTTTTGTCACGTTTTCCATGCCCAACTTGACAGGTCCTGATGGATCGTTTATGCAGTTGACAAATGAGGTATTTGTCAACTTCATGGTCTGGAGAGCCAAAAACGGACCTTCCAGGGCGGGCATTCGCTCCACCAGGTCGCTCTCGCACTCCTCCTGTAATGACATCAAATATATTCTCAGTAGGGATTTGATAGCCCTGGTCTCCCCCGGCCTAACACGCTAACTGCATCACACTCACTCTCTTGTGACCCCAAAAGGGGCAATGGAGGAGCTTCATGCTCCGGCACCGGGGGCAGAGAGAAGGCGGGCGGGGCGTGGGTCGGGGGGGGGGTAAGCGCTGCCTGTGGGGGTGGGGTGCCCAGCGCGGGGGCAGCTGCAATGGCACCCTGCCAGGATCATGCTGCCGGGGGTGGTGTGCTCCCCCTGCACTCCTCTTCCTCTGCCAGTGAAAGGGCGGGGGCGTTTTTAGACATTTTTAGCAATAAATGCAAATGTTTTACCTTTAAAGGTAAAGGGTAAAAGGACCCCTGACTGTTAGGTCTAGTCGCGGACGACTCTGGGGTTGTGGCGCTCAACTCGCTTTACTGGTTGAGGGAGGTGGCGTCCAGCTTCCGGGCACGTGGCCAGCATGACTAAGCCGCTTCTGGCAAACCAGAGCAGCATACAGAAACGCCGTTTACCCTCCCACCAGAGCGGTACCTATTTATCTACTTGCACTTAGACATGCTTTTGAACTGCTAGTTTGGCAGGAGCAGGGACCGAGCAACGGGAGCTCACCCCGTCACGGGGATTCAAACTGCAGACCTTCGTATCAGCAAGCCCTATGCTAGCCACATTTTTTTCTTACCTCAGCATGCTTGGTGCCAGAAATTGACACCAAGAGAATTATCCAGAAAATCGACATCGTAATCTATGAAAAAAGAAAAGCAGATGAATATTGTTTTTAGACAGCTTTTAAATCCCAGAACACTTTCCCGCCTAGGCTGTTCACCTAACAACTTACCTATTTGCAGCTCATTTGCTGAAATGCCCTCTGTGCACCAGATAACCCCAATATAAACTTAACATTGGATTGTGATGTAATCTGGCACCCCTGTCTTGGATTATTATGCCAAGATGGGAAAAGTTAAAATTGTCATTGCTAGGCAAAATTTCAGTGATAAAAATGAATGTTTTGCCTAGCATGATATTTTTATTTCAAATAATACCTCTTGCGACTGATTCACTATTTAAAGAATGGCAAAAGGGGTTTATCTAAGTGTTATGGCAATGAAAAAAACCACAAGTTAAAATGAAAGTACTGCAAGATGTAAAGCAAAGGGGAGGATTGGAACTGCCTGATTAGAAATTGTATTTTGCCACCTATTGCTTAGCGTGGATGAAGGAGTGAGTGATCCTAAGAAATAGGGGATTTTGGAATTAGAGAGTCATGATTTAAGGTTTGGGTGACATGGATATCTGTGGTATGACAAGGTCAAAGTGAATATGGACTTTCAAAATCATTTTGTTAGATGCACTATATTGAGAATCTGGAGTAGATCTAAACCTAGGTTGTAGGTGAAGATACCCCTATGGACTTCAGTGCAAGACGCATTTCATATGGAAATAGGTGACAGGTAAAGAGAAATGGTTAGCCTAGGGAGGCCAGATGACTTCACCTATTACAACTTTCCATTTTATAGGTTTGTACAGCTGTTCTTCTGGTTTGTGCCAGAGCATTCCTACATCCCACTCTTCCTGAATTCTGGGTGAAGTAGAATAATTCCAGAACAAAAAGTCCAGAACTGCAGCACATGTGCTTTACTACAGTTTTAAGTTTCCCCAGTTCATTTCTTTCCATGCACATACCAGTGTGCTCTGCACTTTAAGCTGGACGCAGCTCAACATGGGCTTCCTCCATGACATTTCCATATCTTTCTAGGGCCCAAATGAGATGGGAGAACTAACGCAGTTGCTCCCTCAGTCTTAGGGCGCAACAAGGTGGAGGTGGGCGAGCGGGAAGATGAAGTTCACAGGATCCTTATCAAGCAAAGCAATATACAGTGTCATCATGGAAAGTGTGAGATGGATGGGGGACGTCTTAGCCATGACCCTGCAATGATGGCGAAGAAATTCCAAACAAGGCTGAACTGGCCCCATGAATAAGTCGTCAGCCTGAAAGTTGGAAAAGGGTAAACGGCTTTCAAATGCAGCAAAAGTTGCATTATTATCAATAGGAACAGTTTACTATCAGTCAATATGCAGAGCCAGACTAATACATTTTGCTGATTGAAGCAAAAAGCAAAAACAAAACGGTGCCTCTTCAATCCCATTCCACATACAGCAGCCAATTGAGCTGGCAGCTGAGTCTTACAATGGGGCAGACAAACTCCAGACAAAGCATGGGATAACCCACCTAAGGTTATCAGGACAGTGGTGTCTCGGGCTGCCATGGGAATAACACAGGTCAGCCTGAGCTGTTTCCTTTGAATAGAGTGATGCGAGGAACAGCAGCTTATGAACACTTCTCCAAGTGTTTTGTGCTCTTGGTAGCACTTGTGTCAACAGGGTCTGGCTCAAGTAAGAAACCTTTTACTTGCAGATGTCTTGAAAGCACAACTTAGGTACTCCTTTATCCCTTCAGAAAATTCCACAAGGCAGAAATGCAGAGTCCTGTTCTTTGATCTCTGGTAAGGCCGAATAGTTTCTTGTGTGGTATCTGTGGAAACATCATTCTAAGAGGCCTGAGTTACTTTCCCCCAGAATGTCAGTCATTGCACACGTCCTCTAAAATGTGTCCGGCCCATTCACTGCATGAGATATATGTTGTTCTCCTTTGACTCTCCATCTTTTGAGTTCTGGCCTTAAAGGAACTAAAAGCTTGAATACTGCAAAGCATATCCATAAGGCAAGTGAGCTGGTGCAGTAAGGTATTGTGTGGCCTAATTAGCCGAGCCAATATTACTATCTGGTTATGGCAAAAGCTCAGGGGTGGAACAATTATTCAGACATGCAGTCCATGTTTCATATTTGATGCATCCTCTTTTCTTCTATATCCAATACTGTCATTTCTTCCTGTCCAACTGACTACAGCAATAGCCTTCTCCTTTGAAGTTGTGCCTTATCTATCCTACTGCTTTCTATGCTGCTGTGGCTGTCTGTCCCATACAAAATAAACAAAAAGGGACTTGTGTGTGTATCCTGACAAATAAACAGCAACTTACAACAAAAAAGGGAAAAAATAAAATAAAACTGAAGGTAGCAGACTTTTGTAATCAGTCAATATATGCCTAAAATCCAATAACTGTTTTCCCCTCACAGAGCTGCAAGCTCCAGAGTTCCCTAGGAAGAGGAACTAACCTCTCAGCACCCTTAATAAACTCCAGTTCTCAGGATTTTAGACTGTGTAAATAGGTATGATAGTGCTTTAAATATATGGCGCAGATGAGGCCTAAAACCACAAGAAGATTAACATCTGGGGCAGAGAGGGGAAGGCAGAGGGCAAGGAAGACTTTACACAGGAATGGACGGATTATGAAGTCACAGAATCAAAGAATCATAGAGTTAGAATGGAATAGAGGGTCATCTAGTTCAACAGCATGCAATGCAGGGGCTTGAACCCATGACCCTGACCTGAAAATGAAAGCTATGGTAGGAACTGGGGAAAGCCAGAAGCAAAGTTGAATGAAATGCCAAGGCAAAGAGTTGGGCGAGAGATGTGGCAGTGGTGCCTTTTCTTCCTCTTTCTGGGAAAACTCATCAATCTCATCACTTCCCTGTGCTGAATGCAAAGAAAGAAATATTTCAATAAAAAGAAATATACAATGTAATGCTAAGTGTATTTTAAGAACCATCACTTGTAAGCAGGTTTGCTAGATATTGTGATTCCCAGCAACTGGTATTCAGAGGCATTTACTGTCCCTGATAGCGGAGGGAGAAAATGGCCATTGTGGCTAGCAGCCATTGATAGCCTTGTTTTCCATGAATTTGCCTAATCCACTGTTAAAGCCATCCAGGTTGATGGCCATCATTATTTCTTGGGGGAGAGAATCCCAACGTTTTACTAGGCACTGTGTGAAAAAGTACTTTATCCACACCTTTGCTCTCTTACGTGGTACGTGCCAAAGGATTCTACAAAACATTCCCACTCTGGGGCTTTGAAATATATCTTCCCCATGTTGTCTGTGATGAAGAGTTGGGTGGCCAGGATGATTTTATCTGGTCTCAGGCATTGGAGGATGACCAATGGTGAATGGAATCTGGTCTCAGGTATTGGAGGTCACGACCTGTGACCAGATTCCATTCACCATTGTCAATCGAAAAGGAATCAATGGGCAGTCCGGCAATCAGCCAGGCACAGATCTTGACTGGTTCCCCATAAGTGTTACTCAGGCTGAAATCAGTAGAGAATGGGACTTTCTCCTCCTAGCACAAAACCCACTGTTTCTTCTGACATTCTGTATGGTCACAACGGTAAAGGCTCCCAGATTAGCCACCGTCCCTGAAGATAACAAGACACCCCTGGTGAGGTCAGTGTGCTGAATTCTTGGCAAGCGTGCTGCTTCCGTCCTTCCTAGCTTTCTTTCCTCCCAATCCACTGTTCAGCTTTTCAGCCCTGTCCGGCTTCTCAGAGCAGACGTCAGTGTTGTTCCTGAGTTCTTTCTTCCGGGTATTCATTTCTTCATCCTTCAGGTCCTGGAAGTGGTCAATCACCTTATTGCGTTCTGCTTGTTTGTATTGAGCTTCTGCATTTGTACAGGGAGCAAACCTTCAGCTTCTCTGTGTCGTTCGCGTTTTGGGGCCATCACCTTTGCAACAAGGTCCTGCTCTTCCGTGGTCCTCAACCCTTTGCACAAGCCTTCGTAGGCAGATGATACATTCTCTATGACAGCTGGCTGAAAGTCCAAGTGGCTGTTGAACTTCTTTCTACTTCTTTTCATTACAGCTGGTGGAATATTATCTTCATCATAAGTCTTCAAGCCTTTGAGGAATTTCAGATTCCTTAGAACCCTTTTGGAGCTACCTGGAATTTTACACAAATATATTATATATATATGTTTTCAAAATACAAATGATATTTGCCAATGATAGGCAAAGTCAACTAATTCTGCCTTTGTCCTCACCCTCCTTCCTGCTGAGTTCTATAACAGCAACACTGGGTCACAGAGTGGACATGGTCATCAATTAAAAAAGAAGAGCACATGAAGATTGTTCTAAGGCAGAAGGCATAGTCATCTGTGTAGACCTGTGCCTTGAGGAGGACCCATGAATCCTAGGCTCGACTCTATCATGTGCCAGCCCTCCACCAGCCCTCCAATGCCTAAGCCAAATCCAACCTACCTCTGGAATCAAGAGTTGGTGAGGCCAACCATGGTCCGCACCACAGCGAATAGGAAAAGACCAAGCAGCCACAGAGTGGACATGGTTATCTATTTAAAAAAGAAGAACAGATGAAGATTGATCTTAGACAGAAGGCATAGTCAACAACTTGAGTAGGGATCAGTGAGCTCCGCCTGATAAACTACTTATCGGGCATTCATCTTGATTTGCTTGCTTATGCAGAAGTTAGATTATATCTGGACTTTAAGGAGCAAGCTGGATGACAGAGCACTTTAATCCACTTTAACTGCACCAACCTAAATCTCCAGTGTACACTTGAATCCCTCCCACAAAATACTAACAAGGAGGTGGCCAGAGAGAATGGCAGCTTACACAGACATGGGCTGGGCAGCTGTTGTGGCCCATCGTGGCAGGCTCTGACCCCCAGGAAGCAACACTGTGACAAGATGGCCGGCAGCTGGGGAATTCCTACGTCGGCCACTTGGATTGGCAGGCTTTTCCACCATCCATTTATTTGAATTCTGGCCAATACAGCCAGGCTAAGTGGACGGGGCTTCACTCCAGTCTTGAATCCCTCCCACAGGCTGGCTGTTCCCAATCCCAGTTGGCTGAAAAACACCCCTCCTTTCCCACCTTATTCAGTAATGCCGTGGGTTTTGTATATTAATATTTTGCTTCCTAGGATACTGGTAGTTTTATAATGGTTGCTGTTTTCAGAACCAGGAAGCCATTTGCCTGTAAACAGATTGGCCCCATTTTTGCCTAAGCCAAATCTAACCGACACCTGGAATCAAAAATGTTGTGGCCCAATTTTAAATCCCAGAATACTGTCCTGCCCAGTTTGTTCACCGAACAACTTACGTTTTTGCAGGGTCATTGCATCAACTGAAATGCCCCCTGTGCACCAGATAAGCTCAATACAAACTTAATATTGGATTTGCCTTCCCCATAGCAATATCCACAGCTTTGGCAGAGAAGGCATTGCATGAAATCCTTTAAATCCAACATCAGACTTATTTCGTCTATTAAAAAGAAAAGGAGCAGATAAAGAATGTCCTCAGACAGACTCTATCATGTGCCTGCCCTCCACCAGCCCTCTAATGCCTAAGCCAAATCCAACGTACACCTGGAATCAATAATGTTGTGGCCTAATTTTAAATCCCAGAACATTGCCCTGTCCTGTTTGTGCACCTAACAACTTCTATTTTTGAAATGGTTTACCTTCACCTGGAGGTGCTGGAGGAGACTCTTGAGAGTCCCATGGACTGCAAGAAGATCAAACCTATCCATTCTTAAGGAAATCAGCCCTGAGTGCTCACTGGAAGGACAGATCCTGAAGCTGAGACTCCAATACTTTGGCCACCTCATGAGAAGACTCCCTGGAATAGACCCTGATGTTGGGAAAGATGGAGGGCACAAGGAGAAGGGGACGACAGAGGGCGAGATGGTTGGATAGTGTTCTTGAAGCTACCAGCATGAGTTTGACCAAACTGCGGGAGGCAGTGGAAGACAGGAGTGCCTGGTGTGCTCTGGTCCATGGAGTCACGAAGAGTCGGACACGACTAAATGACTAAACAACGACAACCTTCACCTTTACCCAGAAGTGCAAGCTGGATTTCGAAGGGGCAGAGGAACCAGAGACCAAATTGCAAACATGCGCTGGATAATGGAGAAAGCTAGAGAGTTCCAGAAAGACATCTACTTCTGCTTCATTGACTATGCAAAAGCCTTTGACTGTGTCGACCACAGCAAACTATTGCAAGTTCTTAAAGAAATGGGAGTGCCTGATCACCTCATCTGTCTCCTGAGAAATCTCTATGTGGGACAAGAAGCTACAGTTAGAACTGGGTATGGGACAACTGATTGGTTCAAAATTGGGAAAGGAGTACGACAAGGCTGTATATTGTCTCCCTGCTTATTTAACTTATATGCAGAATTCATCTTGTGAAAGGCTGGGCTGGATGAATCCCAAGCTGAAATTAAGATTGCCGGAAGAAATATCAACAACCTCAGATATGCAGATGACACAACCTTGATGGCAGAAAGTGAGGAGGAATTAAAGAACCTTTTAATGAGGGTGAAAGAGGAGAGCACAAAATATGGGCTGAAGCTCAACATCCAAAAAACGAAGATCATGGCCACTGGGCCCATCACCTCCTGGCAAATAGAAGGGGAAGAAATGGAGGCAGTGAGAGATTTAACTTTCTTGGACTCCATGATCACTGCAGATGGTGACAGCAGTCACGAAATTAAAAGACGCCTGCTTCTTGGGAGGAAAGCAATGACAAACCTAGACAGCATCTTAAAAAACAGAGACATCACCTTGCGAACAAAGGTCCGTATAGTTAAAGCTATGGTTTTCCCAGTAGTGATGTATGGAAGTGAGAGCTGGACCATAAAGAAGGCTGATTGCCGAAGAACTGATGCTTTTGAATTATGGTGCTGGAGGAGACTCTTGAGAGTCCCATGGACTGCAAGAAGATCAAAACTCTCCATTCTTAAGGAAATCAGCCCTGAGTGCTCACTGGAAGGACAGATCCTGAAGCTGAAATTCCAATACTTTGGCCACCTCATGAGAAGAGAAGACTGCCTAGAAAAGACCCTGATGTTGGGAAAGATGGAGGGCACAAGGAGAAGTGGACGACAGAGGGCGAGATGGTTGGATAGTGTTCTTGAACCTACCAGCATGAGTTTGACCAAACTGCGGGAGGCAGTGGAAGACAGAAGTGCCTGGAGTGCTTTGGTCCATGGGGTCAGGAAGAGTCGGACACGACTAAACGACTAAACAACAACATATTGTAAAAACTGGGAAGTTCGTTACAGGTTAAAATCCATCCATGTATCCATTCCTTTATCCCACTTAAAAAAAAACAAAAAAAACTTTAAACAGCCTTCAGACTAAAAGCCCTCAGAGAACAAACAATCATAATGGGATCCAGCATATTCTAAATACTATTTTTTTTATTGTATGAGCCTCAATTTAATGTCCAGAGACACCCTTGTTATATGTCTTAATATAGTTAAGCAATTATTTATTTATTACTGTTTCACTGTATTTTATTCTTGTGAATTGCTTTGGGACATTACAGTGCGGGAAGTGATTTGTACACTTAATAAATGAAGCTGAGAGGTAGTTCCATACTTGGTATTGTTTTGAGGAGACCTTCCAAGCCATGAAGTTCATCAGGTGGCGTTGGGCAAATCATGGCCTCTTGGACCAGTTCCTTTCACAGGCTTCTTTTGACTACAAGTAGAAACTGAAATATTCATGAGCTCCTTGACATAACAGGATTGTAAATGGGAGAGTATGGGAGAGTAACTATGATTATTATTAATAATAATTTGTAGAACAAGCATGGGGAACCTTTAGCAGTCCAGATGATGAAGAACAACTAACAACACTAGCAGGGTTGTTGTAAGAAGACTTGTAACATTAATGTTTATTACCATTTTACATTTATTAAAAATATGTGGTAAAATGAAGGAGGGAAACGTAAACATACAAATGCTATGAGGTAAAATTGGAATTATGAAAACCATGAGGCGGGATGGACGGAAGTCAACAGCTCGTATGAGCAAATAATGAAAGAGTTTTATAAATATGTAATTAATATTATAAAAAGGGAAAATTAATAAAAATATATTAAAAAATAAATAAAAGATTGTAAAAAGAAAGGAAGAAGACTATAGACAATAAATCTTCTTGTAATTACCACCACTGCATGCTGTTTATATATGCCAGCAGCCTGCCAGCACACACATACGCACCAGCTCGGGTCAACACTGTACAAAGTCTTGCTGCACTATTCAAATACAACAATTCCTGTCTTCATGTAATCCTCCCTGCTCTTTGCAGGCCAATTTCGCCAGGCTACAATCTAATCCATATTTATTTGTGTAAAATACTGTTGAAAAGAACGGGATTTCTAAATAAACATGCATAGGACTGGACTTTATAGCAGCTCTCCTATGCAAGACACTTATGCATACTTACTTTGTAGTACGTTCCACTGGACTCAATGGAACTTCCTTCCATTTAATCATTCAGACAATAAGAGTGCAATGGTTCATATGCTACAGATAATTTTTTAATAATATATTTACTTTGGATATTAATCTAGTTAAGTCACTATTTTAAATATCTGTGTTTATGTGGCACATATGGCAATGTGCAAATAGTAATTTTAAAGGATTAGCATCCAACAAATATTGCAACAGAGACATGGAAATGTGATATCAATTAACACATTCAGTGTGATTGCATGACAGATTTATGACTGAAATATGAGGGTAGTCTCAGGAGCAAAAGCAAGATGGAAACAGCAGTGTGTCTGTTTTCTGAAGTCTAGGAAAAAATAAATCCCACATGGAAAGTTTATTCTAAATATAATAAAAGTTTCAAGTCAACACAAACCTTATGTCAACTTTTCTTCAACTGAAAATCAAGATTGGAAAAATGCAGTTCAGATGAATTGAAGATGGTTGCATCAATCATTTTTGTTTAGTGGATATAGTGGGTTCAGTGTGCAGTGTCCAGAATTATTTGCAATGTGTATTTTAGGTATGGCTCAGCTGAATTTTTGTGAGTTTTAGTCACATGGTGTAGTCAATCATATGATCAGCTGACCCACTCAGGAACTTGATGGGTTTGGTCATTAATATCAGTGGAAATGTCTGCCTTGGACCAGAGTGGAATTCTATTTTTGCTAGACTTAACCTGCCAGGTAAGCTAGGAAGGAAAGATCAGTGTGGTAGCTTGGTTCCTGACACTGACACGCAGCGTAAATTAATAATGCAGAGTTTTAAAAAATAATAGCTTTACTTAGTTAAAATAAACTTCTTCATAAACAACTTGGTTCCAAACAGTTTGACTGAGATTACATACTGACTCTGTTCACAACGGAGGCAGACAGACTCTCATTGACATCTTACAGAGAACACAAAAAGAAGCTGGCTACTAAGTCACATGTTAGAATGACTCAACAGTTAGCAGTTAGGCCTGAATAATTTTAGTAGGCTCAAATGACTGTGCAGTCCCAGCACTTCCCAGCCTGCTTTGCTGCTTCTGCTCGCATGTCTCTTTGTCACATGACAAATACTGCCTAAGAAGTGAGAACTGTAAGCAATACAGTGGTGCCCCGCAAGACGAATGCCTCGCAAGATGGAAAACCCGCTAGACGAAAGGGTTTTCCGTTTTTGAGTTGCTTCGCAGGACGAATTTCCCTATGGGCTTGCTTCGCAAGACAAAAATGTCTTGCGAGTCTTGAGATTTTTTTTCCGCTTTCCCCCCTTTATCTAAGCCGCTAAGCCTTTAATAGCCTTTTAGCAGCTAATCCGATAAACCGATAAGCCTTTAATAGCTGCTAAACCGCTAATAGCGCTAATCCGTTAAGCCGCTAATAGGGTTGCTTCGCAAGACGAAAAAACCGCTAGACGAAGACTCTCGCGGAACGGATTAATTTCGTCTTGCGAGGCACCACTGTATTGGGCAAGCCACACAGGTGTTGAGTTCTATGTATTTTAAAGTGGAGAAGCTATAACCAAATGGATAAGGAAAACTTTTTCACAGTTATATTAGGAAGTTTCCTGAATGGACCTCAGACTAGATAGGGACAACCATAATTAAATAAAGTTATAATAATAATTGGAAACAGGTGGTGTTGTGGTCTAAACCACAACTAGGGAGGGGAAGGAAGGAAAAATTTGATTAACTGCACATTTAAAGACAAGTATCTCTTGTGGGTTAAACCACAGAGCCTAGGACTTGCCGATCAGAAGGTCAGCAGTTCGAATCCCCACGGCAGAGTGAGCTCCTGTTGCTCGGTCCCTGCTCCTGCCAACCTAGCTGCTCGAAAGCATGCCAGTGCAAGTAGATGAATAGGTGCTGCTGTGGCAGGAGGGTAAATGGCGTTTCTGTGCACTCTGGTTTCCGTCACGGTGTCCCACTGTGCCAGAAGAGGTTTGGTCATGCTGGCCACATGATCCAGAAAGCTGTCAGTGGACAAACTTCAGCTCTCCTGACCTGAAAGCGAGATGAGCGCTGCAACCCCATAGTCACCTTTGACTGGACTTAACAGTCCAGGGTTCTTTTACCTTTTATTTACCTATAATAATATTATTATTATTCTAATTTATTTATTATACCCTACCCATATGACTGGGTTACCCCAGCCACTCTGGGCAGCTTCCAACAAAATATAAACACAGGAACCAAACAAAACATTCAATATTTTGAAAAAGGGCTGACTTCAGATGTCTACAAAAAGTTTAACTTTTTGACATCTAACGGGAGGGAGGCCAACAGGGCAGGCACGACTACTGAGAAGATTCTCTGCCTGGTTCCCTGTAACTTCACTTCTCTCACTGAGGGAACCACCAGAAGGCCCTCGGAGCTGGACCTCAGTGTCTGGGGTGAATGATGAGGGTGGAGATGCTCCTTCAGGTATACAGGGCCAAAGCCATTTAGGACTTTAAACACTTTGAAATGTGTTTGGAAATGTACTGCATAAGCCTCTCCTCCTCAAGGAGGGGAGGAAAAGAAGAAGAAGAAGAGTTTAGATTTGATATCCTGCTTTATCACTACCCGAAGGAGTCTCAAAGCAGCTAACATTCTCCTTTCCCTTCCTCCCCCACAACAAACACTCTGTGAGGTGAGTGGGGCTGAGAGACTTCGGAGAAGTGTGAGTAGCCCAAGATCACCCAGCAGCTGCATGTGGAGGAGCGGAGACGTGAACTCGGTTCCCCAGATTACAAGTCTACCACTCTTAACCACTACACCACACTGGAGTTGTGAGCGGGAGCCTTTTCCTGTGTTGGGAGGAGGTATTCCACCCCCTGCCCAGCTGCTCCGGCTACTGCGCCACACCCCCAGGTGGCCAGCCCATCGGCTGGAGGCTTGGGGGCTGGGTTTAGCCACTCAAACATGGCCTTGGCAGTGTTTCTCAGCCATTGTGCTGCAGCTTCTCGTTGGATTAAGACGTCGGCTTAAGACGTCCAGGAAGGACCTCCTCGACCACGTGCAGGCTGAGCAAGCGTTGAGGATCTTTAGCAGCTAGTTTGCTTTAGGCTAACTGGTCTGCAGAAGATCACCCCATCAGCGCCGGTTGAGCCAGCAAGCTCCTACTGCCTTGCGCCGCCAGCTCTAAACACCATCTCTGAACGCAGCAACTGTTACTGAGAGGCTGAGGCGACAGCAGTGTGCAAGGTTTGGAGGAGGGGGGGTTGGCTGGCTGTATCTCCCCCCTTTCTAGTTTTTTTGGGCTTTGATCCTCCCCCCGGTCCTTGTAAAGTTTTAAAGGAAACCCCCCCCCGGGCCTTTTAAAAGCTCATTGCTGTGCCTGCGCTGAGGATAGGTCCAAAAAAGGGGTCGCGTTCGTTTTAAAACCCGCGCCTTTCAGCTCATGGCTTTGCCCCTCCATTATTAGAAGGTCTATCAATGCAGTGGTGCCCCGCAAGACGAATGCCTCGCAAGACGGAAAACCCGCTAGACGAAAGGGTTTTCCGTTTTTCGATGCGCTTCGCAGGACGAATTTGCCTATGGGCTTGCTTTGCAAGACGAAAATGTCTTGCGAGTCTTGAGATTTTTTTCCGCTTCCCCCCCTTTTTCTAAGCCGCTAAGCCGCTAATAGCCTTTTAGCAGCTAAGCCGCTAAGCCGCTAAGCCTTTAATAGCCGCTAAACCGCTAATAGCGCTAATCCGCTAAGCCGCTAATAGGGTTGCTTCGCAAGACGAAAAAACCGCTAGACGAAGAGACTCGCGGAACAGATTAATTTCGTCTTGCGAGGCACCACTGTGTTTGATAGTGAGCAGTGATTGTATGCGGGGAAGCAATGTGTGCGCTGCCTCTTTCTTGCCCTCTTTTTTGCCCTCCTTCGCCTTGTTTCAAGACGTTACTCCCCACCCCCACCCCGCAGAACACAACCTTTGTCTGCTGTGGGGTTTGTGTCATTATCTGGGTTTGTTCCTTACCCGGTCCCTGTAGCACCCGGCTTTAAAATTCAAATTGCCCCTTGCCGTTTTCCCAACTGCCTTTGGTGGCTGGGGCCGCTGTTACCGGGGTTGCTATGGCGACGAGTGGCCGCCATTTTAAGGCGCCACGTGGTCAGCGCTGATCTTATCCTCTGGCAGTATTAGGTTCTCTTTTTCAACCTTTCCCTTTGTGTTTCGGTTCCCTTGCGGGCTGCTATACTTTTTCCCTGACTCCTGAGTTAGACTGGGAGCAGCCCTGGTTGGCAGCGGCTCTGCTGGGCGCAAACAAACTGTTGAACTAAGGCTGTACATCTTTGGTCAGTCTCCACTCCAAATTGGCACCGGCCACTTGATTTTTCACCTACCTCGTAGCAAATGGTCACAGCTTTTGGGTTTTGGCGGTTAGGCATTGGAATATGGTTGTGCGTTGGAGGGCAGGGTGTGGCCATCGTCTACCCCTCCATTTTATGGGTATTCCGGTTAAGGAATCTGGCGGTTGTGGATCCTGTCCGATGCCCTTGCTGGTGGCTAGTGCCATGGCACAACCCCCGGTGACATCAGGGGGAGCTTTCAGTTGTATTTGCATCAACAGGCTCCTCCCACTAGTGGTTAACCTTTGATAGACTCACCCCTCCCTGAGGGGGTGGAGTCACGCTCTGTTGTTTTATCCAATGCCTAAACCAATGCCTCTCACATGCTGTAATCAATAAAGTTGTGGCCTTCTTTAGCCCATTAACCTAATATACCGTGTCCATGTGTCTTTCTTTTCCTCAAGCGGGTGGCGGGTCCTAGAATCACAATATGAAGTTATAGCTACAGAACATCTCAGTTTAGGGTTTGATTTGGTTTCTTTTTTTCTTCTCCCACACAGGTCCAAAATTACAGTGGTACCTCAGGTTACATACGCTTCAGGTTACATACGCTTCAGGTTACATACGCTTCAGGTTACAGACTCCGCTAACCCAGAAATCATGCTTCAGGTTAAGAACTTTGCTTCAGGATGAGAACAGAAATCGTGCTCTGGCGGTGCGGCAGCAGCAGGAGGCCCCATTAGCTAAAGTGGTGCTTCAGGTTAAGAACAGTTTCAGGTTAAGAACAGACCTCCGGAACGAATTAAGTACTTAACCCGAGGTACCACTGTACAAAGAAGTAGCCCAATATCTTGTATTGAATGTGCAGGTATCTGCACACTTTCTAAGTTGCAAAAAAGTTTTGAACTTGCCTTAGGATCTTTGGGCTGAAGTACTTATTTGTGCATACAACCTGCAGCCGGCACAGTCATTAAAATGCTAGTGAACGACAACTTTAAATGCAGTGGTTAGCTTAAACAAGGTGACACTGAAGTCTTTTATTTTTATACATTATAATTTAGTCTGCCAAGACAACTTTTAGCTTTTTAACCTGCATCACACTGTGTCATCTTCAGGCTACAGATGACATCCCCAGTAAAAAATCAAGTACAGGTTGTGAAATGTCTTTTTCTTTGACTCACTGTGCCTATTCTTTGGGTAAGTTTACATGTTAATATCAAGCCTAGGCCATTGTTGGATACCTAAGTGGTAAAGTGAATTATTTTGAAACAGAAGGTTCCCAGGTAAGTCCCTAGCATCCCAGGTTAATCAAACAGCAGGTGTTGTGAATAAGGATAGGCAAATTTGTCAATGTGGGGTTCTCATTTTTTCATTTTTTTCTAATCTTAAATTTAGGTCCACACATTTCCACAAAAAATGTAATTAAATAACAATCTTTGTGGAACTTTGTCAGAATTTTGGTGTGGATTTCTCTTAGTAAACACATTTTGATATGCAGTTTTGATATACACAATTTTGCAAGCTATTTTCACTAATATATGCCTTTTGATACATCTTTCCCTTAACAGAGGCATTAGAAATGCAGACCCTCCAATTGTCCGTATTTTCCAGGAACATCCCTATTTTAGAGAAGCTGTCCCAGTTTCTGATTTGACCCCGGAATGTTCCACTTTTCCTTAGGATGTCCCTATTTTCATTGGAGAAATGTTGGAGGGTATGGAATTATCCGACCCCCAAAGCCACCTGAAGGCAATCCTGTGTAGGGAAGCTTTTTTTTAATGTTTAATGTTTTATTATGTTTTTACATATGTTGGAAGCTGCCCAGAGTGGCTGAGGAAACCCAGTCAGCTGTGTGGGGTATAAGTAGTAAAATTATCATTATGAAATGGGATGTCCCTATTTTCATCCGAGAAATGTTGGAGGGTATGGAAATGCTAATGATTAAGCAGTATACAAGTGTCTTAAACAAAATAATTTTGTACATCCTGTTTGGTTGGAAAACTGCACCACCAGAAAAGTGTGAATTTTAAAGGATAGCTCTGTTTCAGTTTGTATGTTGTTTCAGGAAGTCCACAAGAGATAGTAAAGGTAAAGGGACCCCTGACCATTAGATCCAGTTGCGGACGACTCTGAGGTTGCGGCGCTCATCTCGCTTTATTGGCTGAGGGAGCCGGCGTACAGCTTCCGGGTCATGTGGCTAGCATGACTAAGCCGCTTCTGGCAAACGAGAGCAGCACACGGAAACGCCGTTTACCTTCCCCCTGGAGCGGTACCTATTTATCTACTTGCACTTTGACTTGCTTTCGAACTGCAGGGACCGAGCAACGGGAGTTCACCCCATCGCCGGGATTCAAACTGCCGACCTTCTGATCGGCAAGTCCTAGGCTCTGTGGTTTAACCCACAGTGCCACCCGCGTCCCTCCACAAGAGATACTTGTCTTTAAATGTGAAGTTAATCAAATTTTCCCTTCCTTCCCATCCCTAGTTGTGAAAGACATTTCCCTGAGACTCTGGTGAACTACTGCCTGTTGGAATAGAGAACACAGGACTAGACAGACAAATAGTCAGTATAAGGCAGCTTTTATGTTCTTTCGGTGCAAATGTCCTGCAAAGTTGAGCTTCTATTGGTTACAGTGGTACCTCGGGTTACATACGCTTCAGGTTACATGCGCTTCAGGTTACAGACTCCGCTAACCCAGAAATAGTACTTCAGGTGAAGTACTTTGCTTCAGGATAAAAACAGAAATCGTGCTCTGGCGGCGCGGCGGCAGCAGGAGGCTCCATTACCTAAAGTGGTGCTTCAGGTTAAGAATAATTTCAGGTTAAGAACGGACCTCCGGAACAAATTAAGTACTTAACCCGAGGTACCACTGTATTAGGTTAGCAGCCTGAAGCATGCTACTTGCAAAGCAACCAGTGAAATTAGCAAATATTTGTAGTCATTCTAGTTAGTCTTGGCCGGTATTGGTGCCCACCCTGTGGAATGCCCTCCCATCAGATGTCAAGGAGATGAGTAACTATATAACCTTTAGAAGACATCTGAAGGCACCCCTGTAGAGAGAAACGTTTTAATTTTTAATGCTTTATTATGTTTTTATATACGCTGACTGGGACAACCCAGTCGGGTGTGATACAAATTTTTGCAGGTTTAGGTGCATATTGACAACAGCAAAATTTTGTCTGGTTACTAGTCAGGTTCCTATAGGAGGGGGGAAAAATAGGCTTGGCAGATTATTGTTTGTTCAAAATTTAATGAAAATGCTAATGCTGCTGCCAGACCTAATTGTTTAGCTGGAAAGGGCAAACATGATTTACATTAATTTGAACACCTTAATAACTAATTAAAATTATAGCCTCGTAGCCTTGCTCTCAGACATCCTTGCACTTTTACATAGCAACAAAGTATTGCTAATCACTCTCTCATGTGAAATTTTGGTTTGATTTATTGACACTTTAAGGCCATCTTGCAATTTGAACCTAATCAAACTTAACTGCAGATTTTGCACTCCGTGTGGCTCAGGGCTTTTATTCAACAGCTTACTTCTAAATATTGCTTGTCAAGCAGGATTTTCTCTACTGGTTTGGTCTGAGTAGTTTAGCTTGGGCCAATTTTGCCTAGTGCGTTGGTCAAGGATTTTACAGATTTAAATCTCATCTGCTAAAGATAAGGGGAAAACCCTTGAAAAAGAAGAAAAAAAACACCATTATGACTGAATAATGCTCTTTTGTGAAAAATGAGTAATTTCATAATTTACCTGCCCCTTCCCCTTAGCAGATAGTTTTAATCTAAATATCAGAAAATTAAAAAGCAGGAAATTTCAGGGATAGTCTTCGACAGGATTAATTCTCCTGTGAACACTGGAGACACATAGTGGGTTTTTTTCTGTCATATGATTACTTACAAATACAGTGGTACCTCGGGTTACATACGCTTCAGGTTACATACACTTCAGGTTACAGACTCTGCTGACCCAGAAATAGTGCTTCAGGTTAAGAACTTTGCTTCAGGATAAGAACAGAAATCAGGCTCCGGCGGTGCGGCAGCAGCAGGAGGCCCCATTAGCTAAAGTGGTGCTTCAGGTTAAGAACAGTTTCAGGTTAAGAACGGGCCTCCGGAACGAATTAAGTACTTAACCCGAGGTACCACTGTATATGAATTGAGCACTGGAGAGCAGGCAAACATCCAGCCACACTGCAGACTTTAAAAACAGCTCCAATTATCCAAAAACAACTGGCATGCCCTTCGAGCCTCGTAGGGCTTCTCTTTGCCAGCTATCTACAAAACTCCGACTCTTTTCTCCTTTACTAGCTACATTTTAATTCTCCCACATGCTCCTTCTTGAGCACCTCTCCAAGAAGCAAGTGAGATGTTTACATCAAACAGGAGCTATACAACAAGTGCATTTAGCCAACAAAGTATACAAGGGCTTTGGGATGTTGACGATCCAAAAAGGATGCCTGTAGCAGGAGCTTTGGAAACAAACTAAAATAGACCAATGTGGTAAAAAAATAGCACTCATTAGTGTGAGCACTGACATAGGATAATCTCAAGCATGGTGGCGTTTCTGCATAAGAAGTCCTTGCTTTGGGGGACAGGTGTGGACAACTTGTAACCCCATTCCCAGTCAAACACATGCCACCTCACAAGCCATGGGTTTTGGAATCTCAGATGTTTTAATTCCCCCCCTTTTTTTGCAGTCCCAGCCAGGCAACATAAAGTGCAGTCTGAATTCACCCCTTAATACATCCAAATGAGCTGCATTCACTTGAATGCAGACCTGGTTTAAGAACGGCGTGCAACTGAA